ACATTATCAAGCAGCCCGACAAAGGCTGGCCAGTTCAGACTCAGGAAATTGAGCTTGGCTTGCAGGATCAAGAGCGCCAATAAAGCCTTTCCCATCTAGGTGTTATCCCCAATCAGTAGCGGGAGGGGGGCCACCCTCCCCGAGTTGCAGGACCCTTGAGTCAAAGAAGGCTGGGCTGAATCTATAGGCTCAGAGCTGGGGCAAAGAGTGCGTGAGAGGACTATGAGGCAGGCAAGTGGGGGTTCTCCCACCCCAGAACTTGGAAGATACCCTCAAGGCACCATTTGGGCAAATCCTGTAGTTCAACTGCAGAGTCTGATTTTCCTCTATAGGAGAGGAGGAGAATAATGGAATGGAATGGAATGGAATGGAATGGAATGGAATAGAATAGAATAGAATAGAATAGAATAGAATAGAATAGAATAGAATAGAATAGAATAGAATAAAACCTTGAAGGTCTTCTAGTCCAGCCCCCCACTCAAGCAGGAGGACCTATACCATCTCAGACAAGTGACTATCCAGTCTCTTCTTAAAAGCCTCCAGTGATGGAGCGCCCACGATTTCTGAAGGCAAAGCTGTTCCACTGATTAATTGTCCTCATTGCTAGGAAGTTTCTCCTTAATTCCAGGTTGCTTCTCTCTTTGATCAGTTTCCATCCATTGTTTCTTGTCTTGCCCTCTGGTGCTTTGGTGAATAGTTTGACTCCCTCTTCTTTGTGGCAGCCCCTAATGCTGCTATCATGTCACCCCTATTTCTTCTTTTCTTTAGACTAGCCATACCCAAGTCCTGCAGCCATTCTTCATATGTTTTAGTCTCCAAGCCTTGGATCATCTTAGTTGCTCTTCTCTGAATTTTTTCCAAACTCTCAACATCTTTTTTGTGATATGGTGACCAAAATTGGTTGCAGTATTCCAGGTGTGGTCTCACTAGGGTTTTATAAAGTGGTACTAATACTTCACGTGATCTTGATTCTATGCCTGTTTATAAAACCCAGGATTGTATTAGCTTTTTTGGCTGCTGCTGCACATTGCTGGCTGAGGATGAGGATGAGGAGGTTAGGGCAGGCCCGAGAAAGACTCTGCCACAATTTTTCTTTAAATGACAGAGGACCACCAACTACTGACCCTCTCCCATTCGGAACACTTCAAACTGCAAAACTAGAGGACCTGGTACCATCAATTCCCATAAGCTCCAAGCAGTCTGGTCACTGGAAATGGATTGTGGGCCCTGTAGTTTAAAGCACTACGTTACCCCCCACTGTACTACTGTATTTCCTACTCTGCTGATTGTTAACTTGCGCTTAACAGGACAATTTGTGCTGCCAGATTTTTCAGTGACTGCAATTTAGTGACAGGGAACACAGAGTCCAGAGAAGTGAGTGAGAGAGAGGGGGGGAGGGAGGGAGGGAGAGGGGGGGCTCAGCCTATGGTTGCTGCATGCACCAATATGATGTGAGGAACTTTACGAAAGTTGATGGCTACTTCCAAACCATGGGTTTTTTCATCCTAAAGATTCCAGATGTGGAGGCCCAATATGGGGATAGCAAAGATCCTGATGAGAGACAGGAAGCTGCCTCCTTCCTGTCCCGTCAGCTGTGCCGTAAAGACAACTTTCACAGCCACCCAGAGAAGGGACATCATTGCTTCTTGGAATCACCAGTGCTCAACTGGAGATGCCGCTTCATAGAATGGCCAACTTGAAAGGGGCCACGGAGGACACTGAGTCTCACATTATCATCCTTCCCAGAAAATGATTCCCTGGCTTTGCTTGAATGCCTCCAGCAAAGAGGTACCTGTCCCCTTCCTTAGTCACTGATCCTACTGTTCTTATCTGTCTAATGGACAATTAGAATCTTCTTCCCCTTCCTTACATCCGCCATTCTACGTCCTGCATTCTGAGATGAGACAGAAGAGAGATCAGCCTTCTCAATGCTCTCTTTTCTGGATCCTTCTGCAATCATCTTTTTCACCAGGCTAAACATTCCCAGATCTTTCAAGCTCTCTCCGACCATCTTCACTCCCCTTCTTTGAACCAGCTCCAGTTTCTCTGAACCCTCCTTAAAATGTGAGATCCAGAAGAACCTGGTCGATGACTTTAGTGAAAAAATAACAACTTCAGTACATTAAAAGCAGAACCATTAACAGCAGAGTCGTGTTCCCGAGTGTGTGAAGGCCGTGCCATGGTGGAGGCAAACATACAATTAAAACCAGGCTGAAAGAGAGGAAGGCCACTTGTTCGTCCTCGCCATGGAACTGCCAGTCCTGATGAGGTCATTCTGCCTGGCAGAAATGAGGACAAGGAAAGAGGAAGGTGTTCCTTTCACAAAGGCGGCCCCAGACGCTGCCTCCTCCGTTAGCAAAATGCTTCCAGAGAAATGGGGATGGAACAAACGCCGACACCAAATGCTTTTCTCAGCAGCATCAGCTGGAAGCTGCCAAACAAGATGCCACCGAAAGCTGCTGTGAGAAAAACCAACCACAGAGATGTCTGGAACCGCACCTGCATATTTGAGCCATTAGTAAGCAGTGCCCTCCAAAAGTATGTTGGAGAAACTGCCGGAGTTTGTTCGGCAGAGATCAGGGAGATTAAGAGAGGAGGCTATGCGAGAGGCTGGGGGTTAGTGAGGACGCAGAAGCCCCTTCCCCAAATAAAACATGGGAAAGCTTCACTTGAGCATCAGACAGACTCTAGAGAGATTGTGCAGGCAACACCTGGATCGCTTGTTTTGCCTCCCACCGACCCTCAAAAGAGCCAGCCACCTGGCTTTAGAGTGGCTTTATTGTGGGGTGCTGGCCGCATAACCCCAACAAAGTTCTCCAGGGCACAGTTCTGCCACTGCATTTGAGACCAATGGACATGGGACACTCTGAAGCATGTCTAGGAGTTTTCTGACGACTGCTGGACACTGTCCTGAAAGGCTGCAATCAAATGCTGAAATTGTGGGAGGGGGTTTTAAGCACATGTCCAGCAGTTTTCTGGAAGCCCACTGAGCATGTGTTTAAAATGCCCCCCCCAGGGGCTGCGGCCCAGGGAAGTGATCAAGGTTCCCTCTGCCATCTTTCTAACTCTGCAGGTGTAACTCTACGAATCTGATAAAATGTGTATATTTCACTAACACACAAGTTTGCCTTGGCAGAAATGCACATTATCCGTAAGATATATTTCATTTAAGGATTCAGAGGAAATCCAATTACATTGGCCACAGTTCTTATTTAGAATAGAACAGAACAGAACATAGAACATAGAATATAGAATATAAGCTGGAAGGGACCTTGGAGGTCTTCTAGTCCAGCCCCCCGCTCAAGCAGGAGAACCTATACCATCTCAGACAAGTGACTGTCTAGTCTCTTCTTAAAAATCTCCAGTGATGGAATAATAATAATAATTTCATTATTAATAGAAGAGCTTTTTAACTTAGGATGAAATTCTCTCGTAAGACAAAGAGCCAGGGAGTTCTGCTTAGCTTCCGAGGACCACATATTTCTGGAACAAGAAATGTTATTTTCAGAAAAATGAGATCCTCAAAAAGATAAATTCTGCTATGGATACCAATAATAGCCTCAAGAAGAACACATGCTTGCTAAGAAGTGAGGCAAAGGCAAAAATGAAAGAGTACAGGTAGTTCTTGATTTCTAGCCAAACATGTAGTGATCCTTCACAGTTACAACGGGCCTGAAAAAAGTGACTTATGATCATTTTTCACACTTTTGACCGCAGCACAATTCCCGTGGCCACGTGTTCAAGGTTCGGGTGCTTGGCAATTGGCACGTATTTATGACAGTTGCGGTGTTCCAGGGTTATGTGATCACCATTTGTGATCTTCCCAGACGGCTTCTGGTGAGCAAAGTCAATGGGGGAAGCCAGATTCACTGAATGACTGCAGTGATTCATTTAACTGTGGCAAAAAGATTGTAAAACAGGGCAAAACTCACTTAACAAATGCCTTGCTTAGCAACAGAAACTTTGGGCTCAATTGTGATAAGTTGAGGACCACCTATACAGAAGACCTCGACTTATGACTACATCATACTAGTCCAACTCTGCCCAAGGCGGGAGAGGCGTCCTTCTACCCTCCCAGAGCATGCTTCTCCAGTCTCTTCTTGAAAACCTCCAGCAATGGAGCACCCACAATTCCGGGAGGCAAGCTGTCCCACTGGTTAACTGCTCTCACTGTTACTTCTAGGTTGGATGTCTCTTTAACAAGCTTCCAGCCACTGCTTCTTGTCCTTCCCTCTGATGCTTTCTACCTTTTCTCTGTAACAGCCCCTCAAGTCCTGGAAGGCTGCTATCGTGTCGCCCCTAGTCCTTCTCTTTCCTAGACCAGACATACCTGGTCCCCTTAACCATTCATTGTACAGTTTAACATCCAGACCTCTTATTTTTGTTGCTCTTCTCTGCTCAGTTTTCAAGGTCTCAATATCTCTTTTGTATTACGGTGACCAGAATTGGATGCAGTATTCCAAGTGTGGTCTTATCAAGGCATTACAAAGCGGTGCTATCACTTCAAGTGATTTTGATGCTATCTGTGTTGATGCAGGTAGGATTGCATTGGCTTTTTTGGTAGCTGCAGCACACTGCTGGCTCATACTTAAGTGGTGATCCACCAGGACACCTAAATCCCTGTCAGAGTTACTGCTGTTGAATGGACCAAACAGTCCATACCTTGAGAGCAGAAGGGGACTGTCTGGTCCCGATTGCTTGCTGAGATAAAAGCCGAGTTCCCTCAAGTTGCTGATTTACAAATGATCCAGAGGAAATCAGCTGCCCCCCCCAAGCATATGGGGTTAAAGTCTTCCCCACCCACAAGTGGCCACAAGCCCAATCTACCTGGAAGGCCTCTGGCTAGAGAGGACCAATGGGGAGCTTCAAAAGCTTGCTCTCCTCCATGCATCCGAGCCCCAGAGTGGCTGATGCTTGCTTAGCACACAGTCCCACCCGAAGATAAGAGCAGTTGCTGGTGAAGTTTTAAGGTATCAGATCTTGTGATGCAATAAACTCACCCCTCAAGGCTGATGTTGTGTTCTCTAAGGCATGGCACACCGCCAACAAAACACCTACAAGAAGAAAACATCCAAGTTAAAAATAATCAAGCAGCTAATTGGAAATACAAGTTGACTTTTAAATTTTGGTTGTATGACATCACATTGTGGCAACATATTTTAAGAGATGCTATTTGGGTTTGTTAATGGCCAGACACAAGTGGAATTCTGGGAGTTGAAGTCCGCACATCTTAAAATTGTCAAGTTTGAAAAACCCTGCTCTAGAGCAAGTCCCATTGGCTGCTGTGAGCAGACCAAGACCTATTTCCACATCCACATGAAGCAGATGGCAATTCCATGACAGCAACACATTCTCTTCCTCTAAAATACTGATGAGGGGAAAATTATATCGGCATTCGGCACTTGAGCAAATCTGGTTTAAGTCCAAACAGCAGCTCTTGCTGTGACTACTTTCCAAAGTAGCTTCATATTTGCAAAACCAGCATAGTTATGTACATATGCATACATTCCAACCATTTTTCTGGGTCCCATTTGCAGTAAGACAACAGACTTGTAATTTCAGCTGGGGAATGAGCTGGACTTGAGGGGAGGGAGAGATCTGGCAGAAAAAAAAGAGGAATGTGGGTCAAGAGCTGTAAGCCACCCTCCGTGGCTACTTGCTTTAGAACAGACATACAATCTTTATGACCCACCTGACTCCTGGCTAGTAACGCAACCCACTTTTCGCGGAACCAGAAGCTTTGAAAGCAGTGTTTTTCAGCCTTGCAACTTTCAGATGTGTGAGCTTCAACTCCCAGATTTCACAGCCAGCAGGCAACTTTTAGTAGATTGCTGTTCTCTCGCAATTTGGGGGTTGGATATTTATCAATATTGATACTTTGCTCTGAGGATCTAGTTGAAGTGCAGGCATCTTAAAGTTGCAAAAGGTTGAGAAATGCCATTTGAAAGAATCGGCCCAGAGTCTTAAGATTCCCTCCCTTCCAGTCACACACCGAGAGCTTTCTTCTTTAAAAAATCCTATTAGAACTTTTGTTTTCTCTGTTGTTTCTTGTCCACCAGAGTCAACAGCCTATAAACTGAATGGTCAGGGGAAATCCAAAATGTTGACATCCAAGTCCCAAGAGCAATTTCAGGTAAGGTTCTTCTCCCCTGGAGGAAAAGTATTTATTCATCTGACCTTCGCAAACACGGTTCCACCCCTGGAGGAATCCTCCATGTCAGGGGATCTATTTTCCTTCCTCCATTTATAAATGTTCTGACACAACACCCATAATTGAATCTTCAACACGACACAAAAAATGTGGCCTAATTTGAGACGACTGAAGCAAAAATCTCTTCACGGGTTCTCCCTACCGTGGTGCAGTCTGCTGGAACTCCGGGCCACCTGTGCATTTTGCAGTTGCCACAGTTGGTTCTGAATTCAACTACTGAAAAACTGTCCATGCAATCTCCCACATCTTGCAGGGGGAATTAAAAGGAGCCCCTAGTGCAGGGGTGTCAAACTGCCGGTCCGTGGGCCGGTTTCATCCTACCGAAGCCGTGTCCACCCCATTGCAGGCAATGCAAAAAGAGTCGCGATACATCGCGACACATCACGTGACGTGGCAAGTTTGACACCCGTGCCTTGGTGCAAGTCCTGAAAAAGGCAAACCAATTAAAAAGCGAAGGCCCTTCCCACAATGCCCCTCTGAAACCAGTATGTGCAATGCAGCCTCCTAAGCTTGTCCAATTCATGTCCTGATGAATTCTCTACTCAGTCAAACTCCAACCCTCAAACACTGAAACATTTTAAGAGATCTTGTCAATTAATAAAATTACTGAAAGAAACTTCACTAGCAATAGCCAGGCCTTAGCTTCTGCTGGTTGATAATGGGGCTTTCTCCCTCATGGAAGGGCTTGGCCTGCAGGTGACCTCAGGGCCAGCCTGCAGTTGCCTTGCACCGAGTCCCCTCCGACAGGACAGGACCGACCGCAGAAGAGAAACCAGCGTGACTCCCTAGTGGAGGAGGAGGAGGAGGAGGAAGTGGTGCCATCGTCCAAGCTGGCATATTCTGGTTTCCGTCTGGAGAGTGGAGAAGCTGTTTGCAGGAGGGTGTGGGCAGGACGCTCCGCCACGGGCTGAAAGAACTTGGCCAAGGCCGCAGGGTTAGGCTCCAGCTACGCCAGACTGGTATAAAAAGCTGTACTTTGACCCCCTCCCCTCCCTTGAATTCTATGCCGCTGAGTCACCGTGAGATGGCAGGGAAGGAACCAACACCTCCAGGCTGAAACCGTGACCTGCACAATCACGTTGTGTTTGTGGACTTCTGGGAAGGCGCAGAGAGAACCGAGGTGCAGGCTGCGCAGAGATGCGCCCGCCCCTGCCTCCAGAGGCCTGACGCTGCTTTCCATTGACAACAGCCGGAGGCACACTGGCACCCCGGGGTGGAGGAAGCACCTCCATCCAACCCCCCACCCACGGAGGCCAGCCAAGCCCACCGGGGAGGAGCAGAGCAGCCTGAAAGGAGGCCTGGGGTGACCCGAGAGAGGCTGAAGGCAGAAAAAGCACGTCCCGAAAGAGGGTGCCCTCCCTCCTTCCACAGTCTGCTCCAGAGGAAGTTTGCACCGGCTGTTCCAAGGTGGCAGAAAGCGAGGCCAAGGCCAACCCACCTGCCTCTGCAGCCATTGAAAGAAGAAACCGAGGCAGGGAAAATCAGCAGCAGAAAGAAATTGACCCCAGTTTGCACATACTTTCTCCCAGGGGAAGCACGGGGGGGGGGGGGGCGTTTTGCATAAGGTGCATATCTGGGAGTGCACAGGTCCATAATGCTTCGCCTGCCACAGCCGTATGATGAGCTAGGCTCGGCTGTAGGTACTTGGAATGCGAGGGTAGGAAGGGACTTGGAGGTCCTCTAGTCCACCCCCGTTTTCTTTGAAAACCTCCAATGATGGAGCTTCAGCGAGACTCTCCGTCCTGCCCTCCCCTAAGCCAGGTCTCTGGATAAAACGTGGGCAGCACAGGAGCGCCTGGGGGGGGGACTCCCTCTGACTCAGGAGAAGCCTCATGAGTCAGCAGAGGAATGGCCGACTGAGTTTCCCTGCTTGGAGGGATGAAACTGCTGTCAGTCTGTCCTGGGAGGCCCCCGGAGCCCCTTCCCACTCAGCAGAATGGCTAAAATATCTCTTTCTCCCCCTCCACCCCATGGAGGTGGACAGCTACATCTCATTCTGGTAACGAAGTCCTCTAATAATTTGGCTCCTAATAAAACAAGTTATAAAAACCAAAGTTCATTTCAATTTTTAAAACAAGCCACATTTCTGATGGCTAACCTCCTTATACTATACACGACCCCCAAACTCTGCTAGGTTTTCAAGATTTAAAGAGTGCCTTTCCTTCTTCAGCCATGAAATAAGCTTCCCTTTTAAGGCAAGAATGACTAGGCCTCAAAGAGGGCGGCCAGATCAATGACAGAGAAGGAGCCGTTGGAAGTGAAGGCCTCCAACTGTCACACTGGCACCTCCCAATTTTATAACACTTCTGTGGGGAAGATATAGAAACTCCTCCAATTTATGTCAAGTATACAATCCCTCTGAGCAAGTTTCTCCATGATAAGATATCATTATGCAATTGTACTATTTCTCACACACTACCCACTCCTTAATCACATGAAGGTTAAAAGGGACCAAGTTAGCCATTAATCCCAAAATGTTAGATTCCATCCTGAAGATCATCCATCCTATTTAGCTTCAGAGACTCCAGAAGACCCTTGTCTGCCCCATCGCTCTCCCCAAGGGCAAGTGACCTGTTTTACCACAAGGAGGCCATCCAGTGATTGCTGGAATCCAGCAGTCTGAAGCAGAGATGCTTTACCCTTACTAGGTAAAATGTTTAAGCACCATTTACTATGATATAACACACCGCACAATTTTCAAATTTTCTAATGAGTATAAGCAGCACATATGATGAACACGGATACATAAGCCAAGGCGTAGCCTCTCCACTTGATATCAATGTCAGAAGATGCTCCAAGGTGGGAAATGATGACTACACACTTCTAGATTTCTTGAGAAAAGGGTGTGCTGCTAACCCATGTCCTGGATATGTGAGTTTTGTTCTTTTTATTCCTTACAACAGTTGCCTAAGAGAGGGACAAACATCATGTTCCTCTTTTCTTCGAAAGCTATGGAAGGAACTACACTTTTTTGACCAGGAGACGAGCTTAAGGTCATATCGGATATGGTTGCAACTAAAAATACAAAATGATGTTGTATCTCAGATTGTCACGATCAACTTACTGTTTGGAGGTCTTCTATAGGGAAGATCTCCGTATTGGGCATCCTCCACCACATGGCAAGCACCAATGGGAGCTGCAACGCAGGATGCCAGATTAAGCAGGAGCAAAGAGCTTAGCAATAATGGTGTTATTGCTACAACAACAATTTAAAAAATATTTCCATTACACTCCACTTTTTCATGCAAAGGGATGCTCTGTTCCTGGACTGAAGCTTTAGACCCCCATGCCCATATTTCTTCTAATCAGGTGGCAAAGGGACTGGATTATTTAGAAAAGACAACACAGAATATAGAATCATAGGGCTGGAAGGAACCTTGGCGGTCTCCTAGTCCAGCCCCCTCCTTGAGCAGGAGACCTTATACCATCCCTTGTAGCCCTATGTTTCTATATCATAGAATCACGGTCAAATAGTTAATCCAGAGGCAAGTCGTTTCACTGGTTAATTGTTCTATCAGGAAATTTATACTTAGTTCCAGCATTGATCTCTCTTTAATGATTTTCCACCCGTTACTTCTTGTCCTGCACTCAGAAATTTTGGAGAGTAGGTCAACCTCCTTTTACCTGTGACAGCCCCTCAAATACTGGAGGACAGCTATCATGTCACCCCTAATTCTTCTCTTTGCTAGACTAGACCTAGTTCTCTTAACTGTTCCTCATATGGTTTGGCCTCCAGACCCTTTATCATCTTTGTTGGTCTTCTCTGCATTCTTTCTAGGGTCTCAGCATCTTTTTCCTGTCTTTTTTATTGGAAAGGGGCCAGCACAAGCTTAATATACTCTAAGCCTTTCAGAAGAAAATACTTGTTTGAGACAGATAGGAAGTAATTATACTCCAGTGTGTTTCACTACACAAATGAAATGTTTTACTGAGTTGTCACAATCAAGTTTAAGCCAAGTTGGCATAACAGATCCTCATGCAAGAAACAAAGAAGTAATGCAATCACCAAAAGTACCTGGCTAGGATGAGAAACTGAATTCCAAGTTGATGATTTAATCCCACAAGGTAATTTAGATTAAAACATTTACGAACCAGAGGTCACTTGTGGGCAAAGCACTCTATGTCTAGAAGAGGGGAAAAGAGGGAGAAAGTGAAGATTAGAGCTTGCAAGTTTTCTGCATCAACCAACCTCAGTTCAGTTCCTGCGAGAAATGCTGGTACTACAGAACCCTCCTCAGCTTTTCTAACCACACCATCCTGGCCTTCACATGTTGGGGTTCTCTGAACTGGGGAAGAAATTGGTTTGATCCATGGCTTAAGGTCATGGACTGGCAAGCCACAGAGAGGCCTCTTCCACAGTGTGGACTCCAACTCCCAGAACTGCCTAGTTACCCATGCTGGCTGAGGAATTCTGGGGATTGGAGTCCACCCATCTTAAAGGCCCTGAGATCGAGAAACACTGCTCTACAAGGTGTAAAAGAAGGTATTCTTAGGACAAGGCAGACTGATGGTCAGTCATCCCCCTCCCCTAATTGTGGAGCCCCTCAGCTCCCGCCCTCCCAGTGGCACGGCTGAGAGAAAAGAGAGAGCCGTGTGCCCCCAGCATCCCAGCCCCAGACAACGCTCTTTGGGGCAGTCAGCAAGAGAAACCAGGCAGTTTCGGTGGCAAGAAGGAATCTGCCAGCCAAGGGCGGAGTGGTTCATTCCAGGTCTCTCAGGACCAGAAAAAAGTGAGCCAGAGAAAAAGGCAGGATTCCCACAACAGGTTTTTCAGCTACGCTTCCTCATAGCCAAACTCAGGAATGGCTCCTCTGTTGAAAAGCAACACGAGGAGGTGCTCAAATTCTTCAGCAGGCGGGCAGAAGAGAATGCCGGAGAAGGCAGGAGAACTCACAGCTTCTCAGGGCTCCTGAAATTCCCCTCAGCAACCTCCAGAAGCCCCGCCAGACCACAGGGCTGGCTGGCACTGGGCAGCCAACTACTAATTTTCTACAGTGGTTTCCCCACAAAATAATCCCTAAAAGTGTATTGAGTCTCTTCGGGTAGATTTATTTATGCCTTTCTTGAAGTTCAACCCAAGGGGACCAAAGCGCCAGCCCCTCCCGTTCCGATAGCCACGAATAAATAAATAAATAAATACTGGACACCTCAAAAGCTTGCCCACTCCCATCTGAGGAGGCCAGCATCCTGACACGGAGAAACCGCTGTGAAAGGAAAGTTGATGGCATCAAGAACAACCAGCATAACTCCGGACTTGCCTGAATTGGCTTTTTCCTCCCATTTTCCTCCTGCAAATCACAGGGGCCGTTCTCTTCAACCGAGACACGGGAACAGCCGCATTTAGGAATCTCTCCCAGGGTGGTTGGCCAACAAGCCTAAGTTCCAACTCAAAGTAACACAGCATTGAGATTTCTTAAAAATTGGTTTCATCAGGAAAAAACATCAAAGAGTTGGGATAGCCTATATCCTGATTAAAACTTGCATTTTGCTAAATGTTTAAGCAGACCGCCCCCCCCCAAACCAAAAAAGCAGGGAAAACATGGGTTGCCCTGACTAGAATGTCTGGAAGCCATTCACGGCTTCCAGAAGCCCTTCGCGTCCTTCTTCTTTCCAACATAAAAAAACTAAAAAACTAGTCAGAACAAAAGTGTTCCGGACACCTGCCTTTTATACAGTCCTTGACTTACCACCAGTCAATTAGAGACTTTTTGAAGTGACAAGAGACCCCCAAAAGGTACTTATGGCCTGGATTCAAAGTTCTGACGGTCAGATGATTGCATGTTGTGTGTTTGGCAGTTGGCCTGGTCTTACAGCTCTTTAGAATCACAGGGCAGGAAGGGACCTTGGGGTTCTTCTAGTCCACCCCTCTGGGAATATAGCAAACAGACATCACAGACATCGCAGACATCACAAAGACCCCACCCAAGAAAGTGGGTTTGGCCGCACCTGCCCACTGCAAGCTGTTTTACACCATCCCAGGCTTGGTTAGTTTTTTCTGCAGTTGAGATGGCTGCATAGACCAAAAGTTTGCTTAGTCGATGATCCCACATGCTAGGCTGATTCAAGAACAGGCTAAGTCAGTAGCCAAGTTAAGCTTGCTGTACAAACCTAGCTTGTAAGAAAACTGCTGTGATGCATGTGGTCCGCAACAGGTTTTGAAAAAACTAAGCACCGTACACACCACACATATGTTGGCAAACCCAGAAAATCTTAGGAACAGCCATTAATCCCACTTTGTCGTCAATCCACACATACAAGCAAGACCATTTCAAAGTACAGCACCATCCAAACAGGGCACCTGCAGTGAGAGTCAAGAAAATCAAGATAATCTCCGCAATTGTGCAAATCAAATCTGCCCCTTTTTTACATGCATCACATGCACAGCACCTTAGGAGGAGTTACGGTGATCATCACTTGCCCCCCCCTTCTCCCTCTACAAGGCAGTACAAAGGCCCGGTCCCAAGCTTCTGGCACTCTGACCTTGTGGCTGTGCTGAGGCTTAGAATGAGCCAGGCTGTTCTGACAGTTGAGCAGCCCAAGAAAGTGAGGTCTTGGCCATTGTCCGGCTTCTTGCTCACCCAGCCATTTTCAGGAGATGAGAAGGAAACCTCTTCCCAGAATGGGCCCAATAATGTTAGATGAATGCATAGCTTCCTCTGAAGAAGGACTGGCCTCTTTATGTAACTATTGAGCAATTCTAACTCTAGAAAAACATGCACCTGATACTTGCACCCTCTAAGAATTATACCCAAATAATGAAGGGATCTTGCACGTTGCAAAGATATCCGATTTAATCTACTGTAATGGGGGTAATCTGCTCAGGAGACAATGGTGCAGTTCTTGCAACACAGTAGCCCAACACTCCTTGGGGTACTAGCACAAGAGCCTTCAGCATTGTGCCCGAGACATGTTGGGAACACAACTCCCACAATTCCAGTAGGCACAGCCACCATGTCCAGAGTCGGAGGAAGCAGAAGCTGGATTCTATCATCTGCTTCTTAAGGGAGATTCATCAGATGATTATCAGGCTTGTGCAAACAGCCCATTGCTGACAAATAGTTTTCAAATACTTGAAATATTTGAAGGAGTCCAGCTGAACCTTGTCTCTGATGGCCATCATTCAACGATGGGTGAACTTGGGAGCTGGTCTGTGTGCACATCGGAAAACTATTACACCACCAAAACATTTTTGAATTCCAGAACAAGACCAGCTTCCATGATTAGCCTCATTCCACATCAAGCAGACCGCATTTCCAGATGGGCTCATTCTTGAACTTTACTCCTCTCCCCAAATGTTGCCTGAGAGCCCTGCTCTGCCCATCGGCAGCGGTGCTCAGGGCCTGTCAACAACGCAGCGTTCTCCAGCCTGTAATTTTGCAGCTAGACCTGAAATGTGTTTACTCAAAAGTAGCTCCCACTTAATTCAAGGCAGTTAGGAAGTACGCAGGCTGATAAGTCTGCATGAGGGATGCTTAATGAGGGTGCCTGGAGGCCGGGACCAGGAATGTCTCAATGGCGTTACTCTCCTACGTCCTGTGCAAGAATGGCAGCACTGCAGTGACTCAGAGCAAATCTATTTTTGTTGAAAGCTCATTAAGGGAGAAGTTTCCAAATTGCAAGGAAGGAAGTCCTGGAGTTTCTAGATACAAAAATATAAAAAACAACACAAAAACAAAAAACAGCCAAACCCTGAAAGGACAGCTAGCCTAGAACAGAGCAGGACCATCCAGGTCACACTCAGAAGCTCTGCCCGAGCCCATCCCATCCTCCCCAAGACTTTGCCCAGCGTGGTGCTCTCTGAATGGGTTGGTTGCACCGTAAAGCCCAGAGCTTCCAGCAGCACAAGTGGGGCACGGGGGTCCCCAGCCATCCAGAGTCCCTGGAGGTAGAACGTGGGCTCAGGGTTTCGGCCTTCCCAATGCAGCCGTGGCTGTCTCCCCAGTCAGAGGGAGAGGTGAGTGCCCAGAGATGTGGCTGACTGGAAAATAATGCCAGCTAAAAGCTTTGATAGCACATGCCAAATGCGCCGGAGCGTTGCAGGGACACGTCTTGATCTGCTGACCCCAAAGTGCAGGAGAGGCTAGGACTGTAATTTGTGAAGGCATCTTCCTTCACGCCTCCATGCCCTTGAAACTCAGCCCTGAAAGCCAGGGTTTCTTTTCCAAGACTAGAGGGGTCTGAGCTCTTGATTGCCTGTCAAATTTCCCAAAATAGCACCTCTGTAATTATTCAGCTATTTCACATTTTTCAAAAGAATAATTAGCCTGGACAGCAATGATAGGCAGTTGAGAAAGAAATGCTCCCTGCTTTGCAAAGTCACCTTAGGAGGCTTTAAGTTTAAAGGGGAAAAAACACTACTAGGCGATACACAGAAAATTACCAGGATCAAAACTCTTTCCAATATCAAATGGGTCAATTGCCAAATATTGTAGGAAAAACGAAGATCAGCCGATCTCACACACACAAAGGCAGACAGATGCTGGAAGCATAAACCAAGCAAGCCGAGAGGTAAATAGTTACAATTCACCTAGAAGTCAACTTGGTGCCTACAAATCCCAGAATTCCAATTAGCCACGGATTGCAAAAGGCTGGAAAGCTTTGAGCGCAGTTTTCCCTTTCTTTAAAGAAAAGCAAGTAGTCCTCATTAAGAAGCAAGATTCTTAGCTTCGCTTCCCCCCTTTCCGGCTTTTCTCTTGAACCCCGAAGGTCTCCCCCAGCCTGGCTGCTTCAGCCGCGCCGACCAGCCTCTCTCTTCCCAGGCTCCCGGGCCGGGCTGGCAGGGCAGCGGCCCACCGAGCGAGCGAGCGAGCGAGCGGGGCGGCCGTTTGGGAGAGGCTCGAAACGCGAGCCGGAGACCCCCGGCCGCGAGGGGCCCGAACGGAGCGCAGAGGCCGCCCAGGAAGCAGCGGCGACTTCGGGAGAACTTTCCTCCCGCGCCGGGCTCCGGGTGCCCGCGCGGAGCTGGGCGGGCGCACTTACCGAGCGTGAGCAGGGCGACCTCGGCGGCCGCGCTGGCCATCGTGCCCCGCCGATTGCGCGGGGCGTTGCGGGGGGGCGGGAGCGGCGCGCTCACCTTGGCAGCCCGGGGCCGGCAGCGCCGCCCAGCATGCCGAGAGCGAGAGCGAGGGCGAGAGAGCGAGGCTGCCACCTGCGGCTGCGGAGGCTCTGCGCGCCTCTGCTCAGCCGGCCGGCGGCTCGCAGGTGTGCGGCGCGCTCCGCCCCGCCCCGCCCCCCGCCGCCCCGCCCCCGCGGCTGGTTGGCTGGCGCGTCGGGGGAGGCGGGCGGCTGCAGGAGCGGCGGGGACGGGCAGGCGGCGCCCTTCCCAGTTGCGGCTGACACGCGAAGTCACCGCGGCGACGTCTGAACGCGCCGGCGCGGGTCTCCTGTCAGGCCGGGCGCATTTTTTATATAGTTCAGTTTTATTTCCTTTCACTGTTAACGTTAACTGAATGACTTAATCGCTGTAACCAGAGTTACTGCCGTTGTGGACAATTTGTTGAGAACTACCTTTTCTGGAATGTCTTCAATTTTTTCCTTTCCCTTGATCTCATCCCAAATACTTCCTGTTTTCTCTCGCCTCTTCTTTTAGGATTCGCTAGTATGTTGCACGACATAACTTCTCATAAAAGCGTTATATGCATCCCAAAGCCTTCTTAAATCAGAACCTTTATCTAAACCGGTTTCCGTGCATTTTCTTTTGACAGTCTTCCTCGATTGCTTCTCTCTCTAGTTACATTTCATTAAGTCTTGCTGTCACAGACCGGGATTTCGTTTTATAGATTTCGTTTCTTCGGTTTGTGATCCGAAGAAGTCCTTGGCAACATCTCTCTTTGAGAAGCCACTTCTCTGAAATCCTCCTCACGTCTGTTGGTGAAAAGGCTCCGGGTCTTTCCGGAAAGAGCCGCCCTCCCCTTTTTCTGCCTCTGCACGTCCACCAGTCCTAAACTGCCCATCAAATCAAGGAAAACCTCTGGTAATTTGGCTCGATATTTTTCTCAAGGACTCTGCACGATCAGTCATCGGTCTTGTTGCCTACTTCGTTCACCCTTTCCAATACCACCCCAGTTCAGTAAATGGCGATCTGTCTTTCAGGTCTTCCAACAATGCACTCATCGGTTATGATTCGGATTGAACGTGGTTTAATTTGCAGAATAAACAAAACCCAAACCAAACATATGGCTTGTTGTCCCCCAAAACCATTGAAAATGGAAGGTGCCTCGGCTTTGGGTGAATTTCTAAGTTGCACAAAATGCTGTGATTCAGATACTAAACTCACCAAACTCTTCTAATGAGTTTTGACAAAACCTAGTCCTTTGTTTCTGTGTACTGTGCTGTTCCCATATTGCATCACCAATGTCGTGACTAATGCAGCTAAGAAGCCAAAAGGCACCTTGCCTCTCATCTCCATGCACTTCCTGTGCATAGATATCAAATTTATTGCAAAAAAACAGCAGACATTAAAAAACAGAAAAATCTGCTTACTTTCTGATTGGGGATAGGATTCTTAAGCCAATGTGTACTCTGAGACAGATTAAAATAGGATTACAGCCCTGGCTTGATGTAGTTGTGACATTTCAACAATAGCTTTGCTTAATTAGCAAATTACACTCCAATTAATCACTCCAAAAGTGAAGAGCCACCTGCTTTCGATCATTGTTTCAGGTCTCAGGTGTGCTGTAAGCAGGAGTGAAAAGGTTTTGTCTTCTTAGAGATGAGCTGTTCTTCGGTCCTGAAAGTTGCCTTTCTGCAGGTGTGCAGCCCCCTCCAGGGGGCTCGAGTTCTGGATTCAGAAATGGGGGGGGGGTGTGAGTCAGCAAAGGTTAACCATGGTAAGTGTTGTGGGGATGCAAGTTGGGGAAAGGACTTGGACTTTTGAAAACGTCGCATAGGTGGTGTGCTGCTTCCAGACGTCAGTGACTTTAAGATGGGTGGGCCTCAGCTCTCAGAATTGCCCCCTCCCTGTGCTGACTTAGACACCGCCACGGGGACTCCAACCCCTGGGTGCCTGGCTGTTTGTCTGTCCTGGCCACCTACAGACAGTCTGGCCAACAAAATGGTAGAGACCAGCAACTGGTCTCTGGATTTCCAGCTGAGCACCAGAAGAAGAAAAGCAGTTCCCTCAGTTCCCGTGTTTAAATCTCCAGACAGAGCTGCCTCTTAGCAAAAGTGCCACCAGGTGATTTCTGCAGATGAAGACGCCTGTATTAAAGAAACCAGGCTGGGCAGTTCTTCAGTGGACAGAACAATAGCTGTTGATTTAAAAATAGAAGACCTCCCATTTCTTCTTCTTGATCATCCTCCTCTTCCCTCTCAATATCAATTACCATCTTTCCCCAAAAATAAGCCCTGGTCTTATATTTTTTTTGCCTCCAAAAGAGGCACTAGGTCTTATTCTGGAGGGATGTCTTACCCGCTTACCTCAGGACAGCCGCAGCCAGGCCTCCCACACCCCGACACCCAGTGGTGGGATTCAGCTGGTTCGCACCACTTCGTAGCTAATTTTTGGTGGCCCAGGCCCAGAATGGACTTCCGGAAGCGGCATCCACACACAGAACCGGTCGTTCACATATTTGAATCCCACCACTGCCGACCCCTGTTGCGCCACCACCTGACTTCTTCTGCGGCTGCTCGCAGCCACTCATGGCAGGACACCACATGGCACATTGCACCAGTGCCATCACCCGGGGCTGCCACTCGCAGCAGGACGCCATCTTCTAGACCATCCTTAAATTTTATGAATGCATAAAAGTATAAATGGCATCGCCTGGCCCTCGCCTCCCTCCAGCGCAGACCAGAGGCTAGCCTTAATCACTGAATGAAGCCAGAAAAGTAACATTGAGCCATATCCACGAGATATACTAGGCAGCCCCTGCTCCACAGGGTCATCGTTTCAAAGATCTTTCCTTACCTAAAGAGAGAAGCAGAATGACCACTGGAGGCAAATAAAAAATAAAAAATAGCCGTAGTGGGAATGACTTTTGACTTTTTGTTGGCTTTCCTACTGAGTTTCTTTGTGAGAAGCTGGCAGGGAGCATCAGAAATCTTCCTTCCTTGGTCCTTGTCTCTCCCTCCCTCCCTCCCTCCCTTCCTGTCATTCCCTCCTCCCTCCCAAGGAGGGTGGTCAGAGCTCAGAAGGCATTGGGGGGGGGGGAGCGGAGAGGCAGGGAAGAGCACAGGTGAGGAGGGACTCCTGCAAAGACCTGGGGCTGCACCCTGGATCTGCTCCCTCAGCCCCCCTCTCCCACCGGCCCCCCTTCCAAGATGAAGGGAGGTGCTCCTCCATCCAGCTCCTCTCTGGCTCTGGAAGCAGAAAGGCGAGTTGGGGAGAACCAAGAGCAGCCTGGGAAATCCTGTCCTTCCCACCGGTCTCAGGTGTGACTGGGCTCCCAGGAATGCCAGGTATTTGGCTGCTGCCTCGTGGGAGACCTCAGGGAGGGGGTGGGGCCCAGGTGCAGCCCTCCCTGCCCCAACTGTGTCCCCAGAACAAAAGACTTTCTGGGCCAGGTATTTCCTTCTGGGGGCAGGATGGGCCAAGGAGCAACTCCCCAACCAGTTACCTCATTAAATCCCCAACAGCCAAGTCACAGGCAGGTAGAGGTAACACTCAAACACTCCCCCACACACATACCCACCCGTGAGAACTGAGTGAGCTCCTTGCACTGTTTCCCCCACTAAAGAGAAAGGAAGCCTGTCCTGCAAGGAAGGGAAGGAATTCCTTTGGGCAGAAGAAGAAGGGCCACAAAGCAGCCACCAGAGGAAGGGAGGGGAGGGAGATGCAGTCCAGCGCCCAGAATGCTGCTGGGTGCCATCTCCATTGGGATCCACGACCCCTGGCTTACCACCAACCACAACACCTTAAAAATTAAGTACAGAGAAAAGCACTGTAAATGTACAGTACACATATAGGTGAAACATTACCTTATTATAGTCTGTCGTTATAGAGATAAACTATAAGATCCATCTAGGATAACATAGAGTAACAGAGTGGGAGGGGACTTTGGAGGTCTTCTTGTCAAGCAGGAGACACTATGCCGTTCTGGACAAGGGACTGTCCAGTTTCTTTAGTTCCACTTTATACTGTACTAGTTCTATCTATGTTGGATGGAATTGTGGTTCCCATGTCTACTGTTTTATTTTTTTAACTTTAACTGTGTGTTTTTTTTAATGTGGCAACTGAGAACTCAACTGGCCATTAAGAGCTGGAAGGAGCTTTGGGGGACAGACTGTCTTTGTATCTTACACCTTCAAGGCTGCATCTCAGGGCCATCAGGTGCAAAATGGGCTGTGTCCACTTTCTTCCGTTTGTTCAGCCAAGGCAGGAAGGTCCTGCTATTTTCAGCTGTGCCCCTTCATCCCACCTCTTCCCCACACCGGTGGGAAGAGCCTCTTAAATGTGCCTGGCCTTGGCAGTCAGCGACCCATGGCTTTTGGCAAAGTCAATGTTTAGCCAGCTCCAGCTCTCATCTTACAAAAGGACCAAAAGGTTCTTTAATGAAATTCTGTTTAGAGATGGGGTCGCTGCCAAGAGGTTTCAGACTGGGCACATTTATATGGAATATTACCTGCAAAGTTGATGTATTTCAGTCATTTAGAAAAAATGCTTTTGAATATGAAAGCTGTAGCACTGTCTATAGAGCGCTCTATTGACAACAAAGAAAAAAGCTGTTAAGACTCCGTCTACTCGCTGTCCTTTCCTGTTTCCTTCGGCTACAGTTTTTCCTTAAATGCATTCATCTTTAGCTGCTGCTTCTGGCTGCCTTCACATAGCCTTCAGAGAGGAAAACCTTAGTTCAGAAGAGCACCCAGAGGCAGCCTGTGAGACGGCCTCTGACCTCTCTGAGACCAGCAACCCTGAGACTCATAGGTGAACATGACAAACTCCTGGTAAAGATAGAGGTCTGCATCCAGACCAAACACAACAAAGAAGAAACAAGAAGCAGGACGGATAAGAGAAGAATGTCACTCAAAGGCTGGAGCTGAACAACCAATTTCACACCCTCCTCCTGGAAGGAAACATGCAGACACCTGGAGGAGAGTCCTCATCAAGGACAAAAAATAAAGTAGCTAAGATTTCCCCCCAAAATCTAAGTCTGGTATGTCTTGGTGATTGGTGACTCATTTCTCACAGGAACAGAGTCATCATTTGTAGACCAGACAATTTTTCAAGAGATATGTGTTGTCTCCCTTGAAGATTCAAAGATTAAAAATGTGACACTAAGACTTACTAAAATTATCATCCCCTTCTCCTTTTCATGTAGGGATGAATGATACAGCAAAGAGCCTGAAAAAAATATGTAAGGAACAAGAAGAAAGAGACTCTGGAAAGAGTGCAGAGAAGAGCAATAAGAATGATTAAGGGGCCAGAGAAGAAGGGTAGAAGGAATTGGGTGTGTCTAGTCTAGTGAAAAGGAAGACCCGAGGTGATAGGATAGCAGTGTTCCAATATTTGAGGGGCTGCCACAAAGGAGAGGAGGGGGTCAACTTATTTTCTAAAGCACCAGAAGACAAGACAAGAAAAAATGGATGGAAACTAATCAAGGAGAGAAGCAACCTAGAACTAAGGAGAAATCTTCTGACAGTGAGGACAATCAAGCGGTGGAGTGGGTTGCCTTCAGAAGTTGTGGGTGCTTCATCACCGGAAGTTTTTAAGAAGAGACTAGACAACCTGAAATGATGCAGAGTCTCCTGCTTACATGGGAGGGTTGGACTGAAGGATCTCTGAGGCTCCTCCCAACTCTATTATTCTTTTCTGTTATTTTTTTATTCTTTCTATGATTATGTATATCCATTCCATCAAGCCCAAAGAAACTCTGGAATAGTATCTCCTGTCATGGGGGGGGATTGGACTAGAAGACCTCCAAGCTCTCTTACAACCCTATTATTCTATGGACAGGAACGCAGGTCAAAATAGGAAAGAAATTGCTAAAAGAACATTTATCCACTTTCGATGAGTGGCGTTGGACTAGAAGGCCCCAGGGTCCCTTCCACCTCTTTATTCTGTATGCTCTATTCAGTTCAAATCTCTAGGATCAGATGGATTACATCCCAGGATACTGAAGGAGCTGGCAGATATGGTCTTGGAACCCCTGGATAAAACCCTTCAGAACTCCTGTAGCACAGAGAAGTGCCAGGGGCTGGAAAAGAACTGATGTGGTTCCAATCTTTGAGAAAGGTGGAAAAGGGGGGACCTAGGAAATTATAACCGATTAGCATCAATACCTGAGAAAATCCTGTAAAAGATAATCAAGCAACGGATTTGTGAGTTCCTAGAGATGAACAAGGTGATCAATAGAAGCTTATTCTGGGGAAAAAAAACATCAGAAAGCAATTTCCCAGAGTTAAGGGGGGGGTTAGCCCTCCCCTCCAGAAAAAGGTGGCGGTTTAAGTGTTTTGGAGGAAACAGAGAAGTCTACAACATCATTGTAGATATAACAGAGAGAAACAGAAAAATGAAAAATTTGGGGAGTTTTAAATTTTTTCTTTTTATATTATTTTATATTATTTTTGGAGAATATTGGATCTAACTAACTGGAAAATTAGAAAATGGGCATCTGAGGACACCTAGTGGCAGGAGCAAAGAGCTACACTAAACCATTTACTGAATTTATCTAATATTTTGTCTAGAAACTTAGAACTTGGCTAGATTCCCAGACATAGTTTACAGTTTAAACTCTTTGATGGTTGATGTTCCTGACCTTCATAGTCCTGTGGATTATAGCTGAAAAGAGAAGACTTTCTCTGGGCTGGTTTTTTTTCCCTGCAGGATGGAACCCAGAGCTAAATGTGAGCTGATTTAGTCCAGATCATTCGTTAAGGGTTTTTTTTCTGGCAGATGTACTAATACATAATGTTTGACTACCTTGTCTAACCAAAATAGGCTAGAAACTATTCAGCTGAGCTAGGATCAGGTATAGCATGCTTAAAATGATTTTACATATCATTTCTTTGATACTGTAACTGTCACATTCTTACTCATGAGGGCTGTTCCTCAGTTCAAATGAGAACATTTAATAATGGCCAAGCAGGGGTCATGGAAAATAAACAGACGAATCACTGAAATAAACTGGCAGGCAGCCTATTTTACAATGGTTTTGTGTTCTGCATAATGAGGGTTGAGATTTTGAATTCCACATTAGGAAATGACCTGGAGTTACAATTAAGGGATTATAAATAATTGACCTCACCTTATTTTTCCACTTGCAACTGAACACATTTGTTTCTATTTCCTGTATTTACTACTAAATATTTTGTGGTTAAATGTTTTTTTTCCTTTTTCCTTGACTTACAGCAAAATTGTTTCTTCCATTTTCAAATTTTATACTTATATAAACCCTGATTGTGGAGGTGGAAAAATGTTATTATACTGTGATTTATTTTAAAAATGTAATATATCCATCAAATTAAACTCCTGCAGATAAGCTTGTGATACTTTCAATCTACTGGCATTAAACACAGTTAAAACAGTGCTGCAGTCTAATGAAACTGTCATCCATCCCGCTTGGTTTAATTAGCAAAGAAAGACTCCTGGTTCACTTTTTTCCCAAGAGTATACTTTACTGAGAACAAAGTGCTTACAGATTAGAGCAGACAGAATCTGTTGGCTTGGTGCAAAAATGATGCAATTAACTTCCCAAATATCCAATTAAAAATTCTCAGGTTGTTTTGGAAACAGACCCTGCGTTCATATTGGTGCCCCTCACAATCAGGGCCGGCTTTGCTATGCTTCAAACCTGACCCCCTCCAGCCACCCACATTCCAATATCTCCCCCTCCCGCCGTTGCAGGTGTCAGGCTGGCAAGATGCAATGCGAAGCAGGTAGCAGAATGGCAGTCATGACAGAAACATATAAAACTTGAATAAAATTGCCAACCATACTTATCTGATCCACCGCTAGAATAAAGAGATGGACAAACACACAACCTATGCTGGGAACACATAAAGCAGAAGGTAATTCCTTTCTTGCACTTGATAATTTGTTATTACAGAGGTCAACAACTGTTGAGCAGCTCTGACGCGCACTCAGTACCCAACTGCAAGGATCTTCAAATCTGGCATCCCCAAAAGCAAATGTCGGGATCTGGATGCCATCAAGAGGGAGCTCACGGTTCCCGCAAAGCAAAAGGCATTCTGGAGGGGGTGAAAAGCACCCCGCCCAGAAGGGGCACACCTGCCTGTCAAAGCAAAGCCTGTGTTCCTGCTGCCCCCGGCTGAATCACAGAGAATGAGGCACCAAGAAGTCTTCAGGGCGAAGGCTTGTTCCTAGCATAGAAGCAGGAAAGGCCATTTGGAATTCAGGCATGAAGTGGCACAACTCACCACTGCCAGCTCACCACTGCCAAGTCCCTGCAGGCAACTCCACACGGCCAACTCGTCATGGGGACAACTTGCCATGGGCAGCCAGAGGGCGAGCTGGGTGGGTAGGCGGGCAAGGGAGTGGGTGAGCAGCATTTTCACACACACTCGCTGCTGCCACTGCCGGGCCAAAGAGGCTGGGGACAGTGGGGACAGGGGTGGCAGTGGCAGCGGTTGGGGCGGGCAGCAGGGAGGCAGCTGTGGCCAGGGGCATCCCATTTTCATACATTCCCACCACCACCACCACCGCCGTGCCAAGCTCCAGGCCTAAGAGGTGGGGATGGCAGCGGCAGGGGAGTGTGAACACGGGAAGCCTCTGGCCATCACCATCACTGCTCTGCGTTCTGCCCAGACGCTCGCTCACCTGCCTGCCCGGCTCTCCCTCCAGCCGCCTGTGGCAAGTTGACCCTGTGGAGAATTGGCCGTTGGGAGTTCTGCGGTGGTTAGTTGGCAGAGGTGAGTTGGCGGTGGGGAGCTAGTGGCAGTGAACTGGCCGCACCAAGCTGGCTGTGGTGAATGTCTATGAAGATTCTCCATCGTCCAGGTCATGGTTGTCCCAAGGGTGCTTTTTCAAGAGGCAACTGGACTTTCTTGGTTTTTCTTTGAAGATGTTTCGCTTCTCATCCAAGCTCTCAGGGCTGAAGAAGCTTTTTGGATGAGAAGCGAAACGTCTTCAAAGAAAAACAAGAAAGTCCAGCTGCCTGGCGAGTTATCCTAGACCCATTCAGGAGAGCCTCCTTCCTCAGCGGACTCTTTTGCATCACCCAGTCCTTGCTGTATCATCTGGCCAAACGTCTGGACCTATCAGTGCATGTGAGGGGGGGATGAGGTTCATTTTGGGGAGATTGGGGCCTCTCTTCTTTGAGACAGATGCCATCCTTGCAGACTGAGTGGTGTCCTAGTGAAGGTGCAATGCCTAGTTTAGCTTCCATTTGGCTATCCTTAAAGAAACATCCTCTGTATCTTTGCTGAGAAGCATGTTGAGCACCAACCAGTCCAACAGCAGATTTTGTGCCTTGACCGCTCTGTACTTAGGAGTGTACAGCAGCTCCTCCTCCCAACCCCTCATTTGGAATGCCTTTGGGCCCTGGGCCCACTGAGTGTGCGTGCCAGTTCCAGATCCACCCTGTTTCTGGAGAAAAGCAACACTTAATTATTTCCAGAGCTCCAGCGAGGGGAATTTTTGCTGCAGAAGGTCACTGCATGGTAAACAATCTCTGGTGATTTCAAAGTGGTCCTTAGTGGGGTTTGATTCTCCCCAAAATAGCTCCTGAAGGCACCATCTAGAAAGTCTCTTCCCCTCCCCCTCTGTCCAAGATCTACAAGGGCAGGTGCTTGCTCTGGCTCACATCTGCTCCTAGCAAAGGAAGCCTCGCCTGCCCCCCCTCCAGGGTCTAACTGAGGGATGACGGGCAGAGCGGTCCGATGAAAATCTGCTCATCCTGCCTGCCTGCCCTTACCCAGCACCATCTCCACCCCCCAAAAGGTAGCCCTTGGAACTAGGACTAGGAACAGCAAGAATGGCAAAGGAAGTAGGGAACCAGAAAGACTGACATCTTCATGGATTAGCACAGAATTCACCCAATGCTTGTCTGACTATCAATCGCTTGCGACTGGATCCACAGGAAGGTCCCACCAGCAGATTCTGAGAAATACTAGAATGGCACTGAAGGACACCAGCCGGGGGGGGGGGGGACATTTAACATACTCAGAGCTGGTAAAGGCTTCCTGGAGAAGAGAAATGCAGCCCAGAGGGAAAATCTAGCTGACTCTGGATTCATCAAATCGGGTGGGGCAACTTCAGCTACACGGAGGAGCCTTTGGCAGTTCGGGGGGGGGGGCCGGGCAGGCTGCTTCCAGCCCAGATGGCCAGGAAGGGCTCAGCAGGGCAAGCTGCCCCTCCGAACACTCCCGGCCTGCAACCAGGAGGCGCCTGGGCTTCTTCTTCCGTGGCAGGAGGGCTACCCAGCTTGGAGCGGCCTCCCGTTCCCAGAACCGCTTTGCGACCGAATTCAGTTCCAATCACCTGGCCGAAAGGCCCACTTTCTCCACGGGTGGCGCCTCTAGTTTAGCCTCACGGCCTCTATTGCAGTCCAAAGAGGTTCTCGGACCTGATCCGGACGGGCGGAGCCCCGAGCTCGGGTGCTGGATCGGAGGACGGGAGGGGCAAATCCCACCGCTCCCGCCTCTGGAGCCCAGCGGGACCCGCCGCCACGGGGGCCCCGAGGCAGAAGAGAGCCGCTCCCGACGGTCAGAAGTTCCGAGGGCGGGAAGCGGCGGCCCCTGCAGCCCAAGCGGGGCGGGCGGGCGAGCGGCGGCGCGGCTTCCGCTCGGAGCTCCTCAAGGCAAGCGCGGCGTCCCGCCCCCCGAGGGCTCCGGAGGGGCGGCGAGCTGTCGGGCAGCAGCGGGTCCCGCCTACTCTTGCCCCGCGGGCGGCCAGAGGACGCGCCCCGGCTGCTCCCGGAGGACCCAGTCCGAGTGGAGGCGCCGCCGGGTCCGCTCCCGCCGCTGCAGCTCCCGGCGCCGGCCATGGTAAGTGCGGAGCTTCGACGGCTGCCTCTTCTTCCCCGGGCGCGGCTCTCGGCCGGTGGCGCGGAGCGGAGCCTCGTTCCTCCGCGCCCGCTGCCCGGGGTCCCGGAGGCGGGTCTTGGCCGGTGACTTGTGCGGGCTCGACGGGGCGCGGGGGCGTCCTTGGGGCGTCCCGGCTGCTCCTGGCGAAGAGGCCGTCTCGGGTTGGGCAGAGGCCGTCAGGCGGAGACCCCGTTGCCGGCCTTGGAGGCTCTCAGTCTCGCCGGGTGTTTCTGCTCCGAGGCCTCCCTGCGTGGGCGGCCCTTCGCCCTCGGCTCGGCCGGCTCTGGGTGGGCGGCAGGGCGGCCCCCTCCTGGCCTGTTCAGCGCGGCCTTTGGCCGGCCCTCCGGCTCCAGCGGAAGGGCAGCCGCCAGCCCAGTTCGGCCTCTGGAGGAATTTCCTGTAGGGAGCGGTGGAAAGACCGGCTCGGCGTCTGGTCCCTGCCAGTGGCCAAATGCGGAGCTCAGCCCCTTTCGGATCCCCCCCCTCTCCCCTGCGGGGTGCTCAGCCTGAAGCCCTTCGCTCCCCACTTCCAGCAAAAGCTGCCTGTCCGAGTGGCTTTTGAATTGTTATGATTAAAGAGGTTAAAAAATGTGTGTCAACTATAATTAATTTAAAATGAATTTAAGTAAAATTTATTCATTCTGGCCCTACTGATTTTTCCTATTGCACACACACACACACACACACACCCGTTTCCTTGCAGTCTGAAGTGATAAAGAGGCCACTTGGTGCTTTTGAATTAGCCCTGTTGGTGGACTGATACGGAAGCTGTTAGGCACCTGGTGGGCACCAGACTGCCCACCCTCCCTGCCTCCCACCCCAGTCATGGGCAGGAAGAGAGTGGCGATCCAGGCCCTGCTCCAAAACTCTGCTGCTGTGGGGCCCAGCATCACTGTTGACTCAACTGCAGCGAGAGCTCAGCGTGGGAGAGAAAGAGAGGCTACAGTTTGTCTGAATGTGTTCAGAGTATGTTAGTGCTGAAGGTTAAAGCCACTAGCTGGTTCAGTTGTCCCCCAGGACATTATTAATGATCGAGTCCTGGGATCTGTGGCTGTCCTTGCTCTGGATTGGCTGTAGAGTTGGTCCCGCTGGGCCTACCCTGGCAGTACCAGGCACTGACAATTCAGAGGCGCTGCAACTGGGAAAAGCCTTCCAAGAGCAGCCTCAGGTTGAATTGAGTTTTCCTTCCATTGTATGAGTCCAGAGAATTGAGATATCAGCTTTCAGTCCCCACTCCTTGTCCACAGCCTGCACCTCAGGGCTGCTGCCCTGTGGAATCTGCCTCTGCCCATTTCCAGGGACGGGAGCCTGTTCAGCCAAGGAATAGAATAGAATAGAGCTGGAAGGGACCTTGGAGGTCTTCTAGTCCAGCCCCCCACTCACGCAGGAGAACCTATACCATCTCAGACAAGTGACTGTCCAGCCTCTTTTTAAAAACCTCCAGTATTGAAGCCCCCATAACGTCTGGGGGCAAGCTATTCCACTGGTTAATTGTCCTCACTGTTAGGAAGTTTCTCCTTAATTCTAAGTTGCTTCTCTCCTTGATCAGTTTCCAACCCTTGTTTCTTGTCTTTCCCTCTGGTGCTTTGGAGAATAATTTGACCCCCTCCTCCTCTTTGTGGCAGCCTTTCAAATACTGGAACGCTGCTATCACGTCTCCCCTATTTCCTCTTTTCCTTAGAGTAGGGAAGGAGGGAAGGCAGAGAAAGGGAGCAGCTTCTGGAGGCTCCCTGGCCTTTGCCTGCTCCTCCCTCGCTGTTTTCAGAAGTGAAGCTCCGAAATGCTCTTTTCAGGGGCTGCTGCTTCTCTGCTGCTCAGTTGCTTCACGGGTGCAAGTCATCTACCGGAAACATCTGGCTCCTTCAAATTAATCTCTCCTGCCCACAGGAAGCACCGCATTTCAGACGCTGCTTCCTGGCAGAATCTCCCCGGGGCTTTCCTTGCCTCCTGTTAACCAAATGCCGGAGGAGTTGGCACTTCCTTCAGAAGGAGGATGCTGGTTCTCAGTGGGAATATTTGAAAAGTTTCCAGCAAGGATTCTTGCACACACTTTAAGGCACTTTGAAAACACAGTCTCTGCTATGCAGCGGAAGATGGGATAAAACTGTTAATTTGAAGCAAAGGTACAAAAAAGTACTGTGACTGGTAACGAAGGCAAAACCCCTTTTGGAGAGAAGAGAGAGATTAGGAAGCGGGTTCGGTAGCAGGGCTGGACCAGCAAACATGCCCCACCCTGATGCAAAAGTACAGGTCCCGACCTGCTTCACGGTGCTTCTCCAGCTGGGCTTCAGGTTTCTGCAGGGAAACGCAAATCCTGATACAGCGATAGAATGACCGGCTACTGACCTCAAATCAATTTGGGGAAACAGATGGGAGGAGAGCCATGCACCCATGCATGCAACTCTCTCTCTGGCTTTCTCGGCTACACCTCTTCCCACAAGCTCATCTCCACTTCAGTCCCACGAAAGAGTTTGTGCCCAGGGTAAGTGCTGAATCCCTGAGAGGCTACAAGGTTCGGTTGAGATTGTGGGAATGTTGAGGTTCTGGGCAACTCAAGAGGCGGCCCCTCCCTGAGCTTTCCCACCCAAGGCCTCGGCTTCCTTTGAGAGGTTCCTTCCCGGGCACAGAATCTGCCCTGCGGTTCTTTGGCAGCCAGCCAAAGTTCTTTTCCTTGGAAAGCCCCAGGCTGACCTGCGTCACCTCCTCTCCTGCTGCTGCTGCTGCTGCTGCGCTTCAGCCTTGGCTTGGCTGCCCGCTCTCCTCTGGCTCCTGTCCAGAGACTGTGGAGGAAGACTTAGGGAAGGAGGGGTGTCAGATGGCCCATGCTAGAGAAGGCTTTGGTCTTCTTCCCAGAGCCCAGGCGGATTGTCAATCACAGGCAATCAGTAAATATTGTTGGGTGTTTGCAGCAAGACAGCCAGGTGCGTGGATAAAGAGGGTTCTCAGAAGGAGCGCCACGGCAGGTGCTGCAGCAGGTTAAATGGGAACAGCAGTGGCAGGACTGGGCCAAAGCCACCCAGCCGGCTTTCATAGCTCAAGAGGGACTTGAACTCAAGGTCTCCTCTTTCTCGTCTGGTGCATTAATCACTAGAGCAAACTGGCTCTCAAATGTTAAATGTGTGGTATCTGGAGCACTCTAAGGGAAAGATAAAATGCAATAAATTAGCAAGAAATGTATGTTTGGGATGTTTAAATGCTCTGCCTCCATTAGCTTTGCTCATCTTCTACTGGAAATCAAGAAAAATTGTGCAATGCACGGCTGGCCCTCCAACAGTTTTTTCTTTCTGGAGGAAGGTCCCTTCTGGACGAGGTTCACCTGGGGTGCAGAAGGGCGGCTTGCACCCTAGCAGACCTGGCTGCTCTCTCGTGAGTCGCGTGGCAATCAAAGGAGAGAATCCAGGGCCGTCACATTGGCGTGAAAAGGGCATTTTCCAGCTCATCTGCTTTAGCCTCCCTGGCCCTGGCAGCTGCTCCTTCCGCCTTGTGCCTCTCAAGGAGTGTCTTCTTGGACCAAGCTGGGGGCGTCAGCCCCAGCCCCTCCTGTCCCACCCTATGACCACCCTGTCCCCTTCTGCAGGGCGAGAACCACCTGGGGCGATGCCAGCAGGAGGCTGAGGAGGTGACGGAAATCATGCTAGACAACTACACCAAGGTGTTGGACCGCGAGGGCAAGCTTAGCGAGCTGGATGAGCGGGCTGATGAGCTTTGTAAACAGGTATGGAAGGTGATGTGGGGACTGGGTGGGGCACCCAGGATGACCGGCAAGCTTTGTCCAGAACCTTGCAAGGGCAGCTGGACAACCAGCTGGGCCTACCTGCCAGGTGGAATTTCTGTGGGGTCAGGCCCAAGGACCATAAACCAAGGTCGGAAAGGGCCTGAGAGGTCTTCTAGTCCAACCCATGGCTTCAGCAGGAGACCCTATGGAAAGTCTTCATTATGGCCACAGTGGACCCCAAATTTCCATTGATAAGCAGAACACTTGTTAAGTGAATTGTGCTCCACTTTATGACCATTTTGCCACAATTGTTAAGGTAATCACTGCAGTTGTTAAGCGAATCTGGCTTCCCCCCATTGACTTTGCTTGGTGGAAGCCAGCTGGGAAGGCTTCCAGTGGGGATCTCATGGGCCAGGAGAGGAGGGGAGCCGTCGTGAATACACGGCAGTTGCCAAGTGCCTGAATTTCAATCATGTGACCAAGGGGATGTTGCAGCAGTCTGACGTGTGGAAAAGCCACTTTTTCCAGTGCCGTTGTAACTTCAGTCACTAAATGAACAGTTGTAAGTTGAGGACTACCTGAATTCACTGGAATGAGATTGCAGCCACCTCCAACTGTTTTTTTTTCTAGAGTTCTGCCTTCACCAAGACAACAAAGACCCTGGCCCAGAAGAAACGCTGTGAGAATATGAGATGCAAGATCATCCTGTTGGTCGTGGTTGCGGTGGCTGTTCTGCTCATCGTCTTAGCCATCATCCTCTACTTCACTCTCTCTGGATCCGGGAACCAGGTGGCTCCAGCAAAGACCAGCACTGGTGGTGACTGATCAGCTGATCCAGTTCTGCCCAGGATCCTCTCCCCAACACCAGGCTTTCAGGGGTGCAGGGCCTCGGGCCTTGCTAGGACCTGGCAGTGGCCTTGACCACTTCATTTCTCATTGTGGGAAGCAAACTGAGGAAGGACGCAAAGGACGCAGCGCTCTTGATGTCCACGACCTCAACCCCAAAAAAGACTCTCCGCGAGTGGGTGAGAAGGAAGGAAGGAAGGAAGGAAGGAAGG